TTCCTAACTTAGTTAAATCCATTTCAATTGTTAGCCAAAAATTTTCTTGCATCCCGGTAAGATTTGGTTTTATATGATATGAATCATTTCTTTTCTTCCACCAAAAAATAGAAAAATAAAGCCTATGTCGGACGTTTCTTACCTTTGAGAACATAACATTTTCACTTCCAATTACTTTGGAAACAACAAATAAGAGTAAAGTTATTAGGGTTGAGAATGAAGTGTGGTGTAATGGGTTCACGTATTTAAATTTGACCTTATTAAAATTCACTCAATTCTTATACAACTTATTTATGTCTTTTTTACCTAACGATTTGTCACATGCGATGCACAAGATTATCAGTCGTTTCTCTCTTTCTATTTTATTTATTTATTTTTCTATTTTTTGTTTTATCACTTGTGAAAGTTAGATTACCAATTATAGAAAGTTTTTGTGTGACGAAAAGTAATTTTTTTGAATGAATTTTAAAAAATAGTAGTTAGTTATTGAGGGATAGTTACAAATGACACATGACAACATTTGAGTGAAGAGAATCCTTAGATTTTAAATTAAAAAAAAATCTAAATTTTAAGAAATTAGGAAATCGTGAAGGAAGACTTCCTAAGCTTTCTCAACTTCAAATTGTTTGTTATGTATATTGACTAACGAAGACCCCGTATGATGCACAAAATTTGTATCTCACCTTCTCTTACCCCTTTCTCTTTCCTTCTATCGCACCATTTAAGAAATAAAGAAGTTAGACAAATAATTATAAAAATTTGTGGGGATGGAAAGTAATTTTTTTTTAAAATTTAAATGAGTAGTTATTAGTTAGTGGAGGGATAGTTAGGCCACTAAGTGAAATATAATTGGATTGAATGTAATAAAATAGTCAAAATTCTAAAAATTGAGAGAATAGAGAGGGATGCCACCCAAGGTCTCTCCCACATAATTAGTTTGGTATATAATATAGTATAGACAGACTACCAAGTGCTCGTATGATGCACATAATTAATTTTCTCCACCATCACTCTGTTTCACAATTTTTTAACTTTCATATTCCTGATAAATTACTTATTAATGAATTAAAACAATATTTATTAAATGTGACAAAGTGACGAAAGGTGAGTGAAAATTTAAATTTGAAATAATATAAAACGATAATGGGAGTAGTTACATAAAATAAAGGAAGTAGTTAATTAAATAAGTCAAATGACATAATTTGATTGGAAGATATTAATTAAAAATTTTAAAAATCTATAAATTAAGTATTTGGGGAGAGAGAGCTTTTCAAGCCCACTCACCAAAAACAATTTAGATACGAGCGGGTGCCTTGTGAAAATTTAAATTTGAAGTAATTTAAAAACATGGTGGAAGTAGTTATAAATATTGGAGAGAGTAGTTAAATAATCCAAATAAAATAATTTGATTGGAATGGGGTTAATTAAATATTTTAAATATCCAAAAATGAAGCATTTGTGGAGGGAAGGCTCCTCAAGTTCGGTAACCCAAATATTGTTTGCTTTATATATCTAAGCAATGTTATTGAGACTTTATGTGATTGGAAAAGTGTTGATCTACTTCCTTAATAAAAGAACATACAATTAATTTAAAGGGGATTTGGAAGTCGGTCCCTAGGCTCAATAGGATTCCAAAAAAAATCGACTCCCCAATTTACTTTTGGATTAGGTCCTTGTTAAAAAGTCAAAGTAATTGACATAACTAATGTCATTTACAATTGCNTTAAAAAGTCAAAGTAATAGACATAATTAATGCCATTTACAATCGTAAAAAATAATGATAATGTCATTATTTAATTTAAACACCTATTTTAAAACAATATGTCATCATAATGTACCATCTTCTCCGTAAACACAAATTATAAGACATCTACACTAAGAAAAAAGTAGCATATACGCAATTAAAAAATATATATATATATACATTCGAGTCAAAAAAAAAAAATAGTACAAAACAAAAACAAAAATAAAAAAATAACAGGTATGCAATAAAAAATAACAAGAATCAATAAAAAAATATAAGGTATATAATAAAAAAATAAAAATAATAGGTATGCAATAAAAAAAATAAAAGCTACACAATACAACAGGAATATAAATACCGACCCTTCAACCAAAACCAGAATTTGTATCTCAGACCCTAGACACTCTCTCTCAAATGCTTCAACTTTCTGAAGAACGGCAACACGACACACTCGAAGACGAAGAGGATGAAACTCCTCACAATCACGACTGTATTCCTCACCTCACAATTCCAAACCCTAACCCCAATTTCAATGATCGTTAGTTTCCTACAACTCTAACTCTTCTTCACGTCTCATACAATCAAGATTATGGATGTTTTGCCAACGGCACAGATTGTGGCTTTCGAATATACAACTATGACCCTTTCTGCAAAATCTTTCTTCCACACGGAGGAAAAAAAATTAATTGTATTTTAGATTGAAATCATGTGACGGGAGCAAAATGGATAATAAAAATACATTAACTGTCCATCTCCTATACCTTCACCTTCGAGCCGACACAAGGGACCGCATGCAAAGTTTTCAAAAGCAAGGAGAACCTTTTTATATGCTAAAAATTTGGTAGGACTAAAATTGATTTAGATACCGAAATTGGGACCTTAGCCTAATTATTTATTAATTTAATTATGATCCGAATTAAAGTTGTGTTTGGGATGACTTATAAAATTTTAAAAATATTTAAATAAATATTTTTTAAAAGCATTTTATATTTTCTTTAAATAAACACCATTTGGAAAATCAATCAAATAAAAAGTACTTTTATCAAAAAGTGTGTTTTGATTATCAATTTAAAAACACTTATCTATGTCTCAAATTTTAATATATCTCCAAAACATATATTAAATATTGAGTAATGGTAGTGGGTAGTGGTGGTTGTATAGCAGTGGGGTGGTGGGTGGGAAGTGATGATAGTGGTCTAGGATGAAACTATAAATTTATCACAAATGGGCCAAATAAAAACAATGACACAATTAAGAATTTAATGGAATGAGATCATCCAATAAGTTATTATTAGTATATATTTTTAATTACGAAGACCCTATCATTGTATGATACCATCACAAAAACTTAGTTAATAAAATCCAAAAACTATCTCTTTTTAAGAAATTTAATTCGTGACAATTTCATGGACCACTTATTCCCTCATTTTATGACATGATGTAAAAATTTTGAATTATATATCATTATAAATCTTTACGTGATACCATTGTAAACATTAGTCGTAAATCACTGCATTATTGATGATATAAAATCATGTTCTTAATATCTTGATTTGACAGCACATTTTCTTCCTTTTTTGTTGGCCATCAACTTTGCCCATATAAATTTTTCTTTTCATAAGAATCCACTCGTCCATGTGAATAATATCCCCCATTTAGTTATGGTTTTTCAATACTATTGGTCCCCCAATGTATTAGTTCTTTTTCATTTTGGTCCTTCATGTTTCAATTTTGTCTTGCNATTTAATTTAAACACCTATTTTAAAACAATATGTCATCATAATGTACCATCTTCTCCGTAAACACAAATTATAAGACATCTACACTAAGAAAAAAGTAGCATATACGCAATTAAAAAATATATATATATATACATTCGAGTCAAAAAAAAAAAATAGTACAAAACAAAAACAAAAATAAAAAAATAACAGGTATGCAATAAAAAATAACAAGAATCAATAAAAAAATATAAGGTATATAATAAAAAAATAAAAATAATAGGTATGCAATAAAAAAAATAAAAGCTACACAATACAACAGGAATATAAATACCGACCCTTCAACCAAAACCAGAATTTGTATCTCAGACCCTAGACACTCTCTCTCAAATGCTTCAACTTTCTGAAGAACGGCAACACGACACACTCGAAGACGAAGAGGATGAAACTCCTCACAATCACGACTGTATTCCTCACCTCACAATTCCAAACCCTAACCCCAATTTCAATGATCGTTAGTTTCCTACAACTCTAACTCTTCTTCACGTCTCATACAATCAAGATTATGGATGTTTTGCCAACGGCACAGATTGTGGCTTTCGAATATACAACTATGACCCTTTCTGCAAAATCTTTCTTCCACACGGAGGAAAAAAAATTAATTGTATTTTAGATTGAAATCATGTGACGGGAGCAAAATGGATAATAAAAATACATTAACTGTCCATCTCCTATACCTTCACCTTCGAGCCGACACAAGGGACCGCATGCAAAGTTTTCAAAAGCAAGGAGAACCTTTTTATATGCTAAAAATTTGGTAGGACTAAAATTGATTTAGATACCGAAATTGGGACCTTAGCCTAATTATTTATTAATTTAATTATGATCCGAATTAAAGTTGTGTTTGGGATGACTTATAAAATTTTAAAAATATTTAAATAAATATTTTTTAAAAGCATTTTATATTTTCTTTAAATAAACACCATTTGGAAAATCAATCAAATAAAAAGTACTTTTATCAAAAAGTGTGTTTTGATTATCAATTTAAAAACACTTATCTATGTCTCAAATTTTAATATATCTCCAAAACATATATTAAATATTGAGTAATGGTAGTGGGTAGTGGTGGTTGTATAGCAGTGGGGTGGTGGGTGGGAAGTGATGATAGTGGTCTAGGATGAAACTATAAATTTATCACAAATGGGCCAAATAAAAACAATGACACAATTAAGAATTTAATGGAATGAGATCATCCAATAAGTTATTATTAGTATATATTTTTAATTACGAAGACCCTATCATTGTATGATACCATCACAAAAACTTAGTTAATAAAATCCAAAAACTATCTCTTTTTAAGAAATTTAATTCGTGACAATTTCATGGACCACTTATTCCCTCATTTTATGACATGATGTAAAAATTTTGAATTATATATCATTATAAATCTTTACGTGATACCATTGTAAACATTAGTCGTAAATCACTGCATTATTGATGATATAAAATCATGTTCTTAATATCTTGATTTGACAGCACATTTTCTTCCTTTTTTGTTGGCCATCAACTTTGCCCATATAAATTTTTCTTTTCATAAGAATCCACTCGTCCATGTGAATAATATCCCCCATTTAGTTATGGTTTTTCAATACTATTGGTCCCCCAATGTATTAGTTCTTTTTCATTTTGGTCCTTCATGTTTCAATTTTGTCTTGCTAATCCCTAACATTTTAAATTTGTGTCTAATTGGTCCTTTTCCTAACCTCCATCCAAATCTCTAACAGAACCGTGACATTTGCTTCTCATGTGACTTGTTGTGAGGGGCAAACTTGGCAAACAATATTTGTTCTTCTGCTTTTGTGGGGGAAATTGGGCAAAGCAACACCAAAGGTTCTGAGAGATTTTGAGAGACGAATATTGTCGAAGTAGTCCAAAAGCCGAGAGAGATTTTTGCTTGAGAAATGACTCCGAACGTGAGGAACGATGCAAGACATGGTCACAATTCACATTCTATGCTAAAACATAGTCAGCATTTGTTGGATTTTATGTTGGGTTTTCCATTTTTTAAGGTTTTGATGTCCCTTACATACTGTTTCTTTTTTCGATATTTGTCTACCAACCTTTGGAATCTATGTATTATTTAACATTTGGATACTACCAACATATTTTTCTAGTATTATTTTTTCTACCAATCTTTGGAAAGCTTTGAATTCTTATGCTTGTAGTGGTCCCTCATTTGAAAAGTTTTTTATGTATTCGGTGACCCCAAATAATGTTGTTTTTGGTATTGGTTTTTTGTTGTCCCACATTTTGAGTTCATTATGAACCATAGTTTAATAAGTTTTGAATTTGTTCCGCATGCAGACATAGACCCTGGATTATTCTCCATAGAAATGTATCATGGTGGTGAATTCAGCAACAAACCAATAAAAATGTATGTAGGGGATACAGTAAGCTATATTCATGGTTGTGACCCTAACCAGATGACAATGTTAGAGTTTGATGATTTGGCTTTATCATTGGAAAAAGGGTTAGTTCATATNAGTTAAGCAACCTGGGAGGCCTAAAAAGCTGAGAAGAAGGGAACCAGATGAAACAAAAGGTGGTTAGGAAACTTGGTCATTAAACTCGTTTTAACTCATTTCCTGCATTTTAACTCATTAAAATGCAGGATATGTGGAAAGAAGGGGCACAATAAGAGGACTTGCNATGAAGATGTAATCAACTTGGTGGTGAAGTTATTGCCAAGAAATAGGTTGGCTGAGGTATATTTTGTGCACCATGGTGGAACTGTAAGCAAGGGTAAGAAGGTGTATCGAGATGCAGCATCTGATTCTGAATCTGGTAATAGTTATGCAGAGTTTACTGATATTAGTTATGGAAAGAGTGATGATGAACTGTATGAAAATAATGTCGATGCTAATGCTGAATGGAATGATGTTCGAAACAGTAAGAATAAGAGTAGTGATAAGCTGTTTCATATCCCTAATGATATTGACTCAGATTATGGTGATTTTGATGATCTAGCCAGCCTAGGCTGTTCATCTAAGGAAGAAGAAATTGTCAGGCCTAAAACAGACATGGCTGACCCTGAGTTTAGGCTTGGTATATTACTGACCTGTGCAGATGAGTTCAAGAAGGCCATAAAGGTCTCTGCAATTGCAAAACAAGGAAATGTGAAATTAGTTAAGAATGACAAAAGGAGGGTAAGAGTTATATGTAAAGAAGGTTGTTCATGGATGATTTATGCTTCACACTTACAAACTGAGAAAACATGGCAAGTGAAAGTTTACAACAATAAGCATACATGTGAAATTACTGACCTGTGCAGATGAGTTCAAGAAGGCCATAAAGGTCTCTGCAATTGCAAAACAAGGAAATGTGAAATTAGTTAAGAATGACAAAAGGAGGGTAAGAGTTATATGTAAAGAAGGTTGTTCATGGATGATTTATGCTTCACACTTACAAACTGAGAAAACATGGCAAGTGAAAGTTTACAACAATAAGCATACATGTG